ACTAATAACTAGAGGAAATCCAGAAAGTCCTGATAGGGGAGAAGGCAAATGAGTTAAACCATGAAGGAAGCGAAGGATTCTAGGAGAAGTGAGGAGGGAGAAAGCATGGAGGATAGCCCCTGCAATGATAGAGACAGGAGATGAAATGCTAACTTACAGAAATAGCAACTAGGACAGTTCGTCTGGAATGTGGGATATGAAGGGAAAAGGTAAAATGGAACCAGACTCAAAAAGCCTTTAAATATAAACCTAAGGAGTTGCTCTTTCTACCATGTAGGAGCCTTTGGATTCTTGATGGAGACAGTACTTTTATAACAGCAGTGTCTGGAAGGCTGTGGTCTAAGACCATTTTTGTTGGATACAAGCAAGGCCTATAAAACCAGAAAGAACACACAACTTTTCTGAAAATTGAAAGGGGTCTGTGTCTGGGATGAAACTAAATTCTGTTTAGGCAAGAGATAAGCCAGGAAATACAAAACAAAAAACATCACAGTGACTCATAGTGGCAAATCCAGTAGAACCAGAGTGATCTAGAAAAAGGTTACTCAGGCTCATGGAAACAATAGTATGATTCAGCCAAGTTCTGGAGCAATTTTCCTACTAAGGCCATTGGATAGAGGATCTGGGTGATACTATATCCCTTAATGGTCTCGAATTGGAAGCTAAATAAATAAAATTATACATTTTTTAAGAATACATATTGGTTTTGGGTGTCTTTTTTCTAAACTAGATATATTTCAAGGTCTATTTATATACTGGTATTTTTAAAAATAAAATTTTATTGATATCTTTGGTTTTTACATCATGTATTTTCTATCTATTTCTACCCTCGTCCCTTCTCAGGGAGATATCCCTCATAATACTGTATGAAATAATTTTTCACAAAACTAAAAAAACATTGAAGCATTCACTTTCAATTGTTTTGTCGTTACTGTTGTTCTTTCCATTTACATTGTTATTGTGTGTCTTGTCTTCGTGATTCTGCCTATTTCACTTTGCATCAGTTTGTATGTCTTTTCATAATTCTCTGTGTTCATCACTATATTGTAGTGGTGGTAGTTAATTAAAGAGTTTGCAAAAGGCAAGACTTTAAAAATAATTGTTATGTAGCCACCACCCCACAAATAAAAGGGGGGGCTGAAGACTTTGTACTCTATCGTAGAATATACGTGCAAGGGTTGAGATAGTTGAGATAGTTACTGAACGTCTTGAAAAAGTGAAAATGACCTTTGCATTCCCATTGTGTAGCACAGTGCCTGGCACACAGTAAATGCTTAATAGATGCTTGCTATTTGATTAGATCAGGATAGGGTGATATAGGCATACTGAGTGAACCTCAAAGGAGAAGGGAGATTCTTGAGTGACAGTGACAGAGAAAGGGTCTGGAAGAGGCCAGTGAAGAGTAAGAAGTATATTTTCTCTTCCTCCTGACCTACAGTGTTAGTAGCATGGGAAGAAGTATACTCATTAGGTATGAGGTAGCTAGGGATGTATTGTCTTCTGGAAGGAATCAGTATGAGTACAAAAGGAAGTATTGAGAAAAGAAGATGTTTAAGATGAAGGCATTTTTAGTGTTAAGGGTGACCAGTGGGTAAGAATGTGAGCCTTTTTTGTAAATGGGTAACCTGGAGCTCATCACAGTGGTGTAGTAGAACACTGGATTAGGCTTAACCATATTTTCAGAATGTAGAGAGGATTTCTATTCAGGTGTAGATAGGATGAAATGACCTCAAATAAAGAATTCTGTGATGTATTGAAACTGTTTGAGTGGGTATAGGGGACAGGAGATATGAAACATGATCTCCTCTGGGTTTTAGAAAGTTGGATTTCATGTCTTGTATCTGGGAAGGATGAGGATGGAGAAGTAAGAATACTAGTTTGAAGAAAGCTATTGCAAATAGTCCAGGTGAGAAGTAATATAGTATGTGATGTAGAAGCAGTAGCATTGGGAAAAAAACCAAAGGGACATATTTTTTAGTTATTTCCAGTTTCTATAAATGGCCAGATTTCTGTGTATAGCTGGTAACTGTACATTAATATTTATGTTGTATGGTGACTAGACAATAGTCAATAATGTGACATGTACTTTTTTTTTTCTTGGCATTCTTCAGGTATGATTTCCCTTTCAAGCAAGTTTGATTATTGAATAGACTGTGGTGTGATAGGAAGAGCTTTGTCCTTGGAGTCCACAAAAACCCTTAGTTCCAATCCTAATAGTTAGTAGCCTGATAAACCTGTTTGGTTTACATGATTTTTCTGAGCTTAATTCTCCTCATCTGCAAAAAGGAAATACATTTTTTCAAGCCAGCAAATTGAAAACATTAAATGTCCACTACGTATAAAATATAGTACCTAAAAGTGGAGATGCAAAGTTGAAAAACAATATAGTTTCTTTTCCTTAAGGAACTTAGAGTAAGTCAGCAAACATTAAGTTCCCACTGTGCCAAGCACTGTGCTAAGCCCAGGGGAAACAAAAAAAGATAACCCTTGCTCTTAGGGAGCTCACAATCTAATGGGGGAGACAACATGCAAAACAACCATGTACAAACAAGCTATGTACAGGATAAATTGGAATAATCAACAGAGGGAAAGCACTGTAATTAAGTGATTGGGGAAAGCTTCCTATAGAAGTTACAAAGGAAGCCAGGCAGAGATGAGGATGGAGAGAATTCCATGGTTGGGTAAAAGCCAGTGAAAATGCCCAGAATCAGGAAATGTGTTGTTTAAGGCTAGTGGCACTGGATCACAAGAGTATATAATGGGAAAAGTAAGGTATAAATAGCAGACAGAAATGGGAATGGGGGGGTGTCTACGATGTGAAGGGCTTTGAATACCGACAGAAGATTTTACATTTGATCCTAGAGGTGATATGGAGAAACTGGAGTTCATTAATTAGGGGGTTTATTGCCAGACACTTTAACAACTGAACAAAGAATGGATTGGAATGGGAAAAGACTTAAGGCAGGGAGCCCACCCAGCAGCTATTTCAATAGCCCAGGCATGAGGTGATGGAGGGCCTGTACCAAAGTGATTATAGTGTTAGAAGAGAAAAAAGGGAATGTATGCAAGTGATGTTAACAAAAGTTAAATGGACAGTCCTTGGCAACAGATTGGATAGAGGGTGAGAGTGAGGATTCAAAGATGACATCTAAGTTGTGAGCCTGGATAACTGGGATAACTGATGCTACCCTCAATTAACAAGGAAGTTGGAAAGAAAAGGTTTTGGGGGAAAGAGAATGAGTTCAGTTTTGGACATACTGAGTTCAAAGTATCTACAGGACCTCTAGGCTGAGATGTCTGAAAGGCAGAGACTAGAGGTCAGTAGAGAGGTTTTAATCTGTGTAAGTAGTTTTGAGAATCATTTGTATAGAGCTAAGTAATTGAATTTTTAGAAGCTGATGAGATCAAGTGAAATAGTACAGAGGGAAAAGAGAAGAAGGCCCTGGACAGAGCCCTATGGAACACCATGGAAAGTGGGTATGACATAAATAAAGATCCAACAAAAGAGACTAAGAAGAAATGGTAGGAGACAGAGTAGGTAGGAGGAGAGGGCAGTGTCCTAAAAATCTAGAAAGAAAAGAGAATCAAAGAGTGATCACCACCATTAAAGGCTACAAAAAGGTCAAGTAGGATGAGGATTGAAAAGGCCATTGGATTTGGAAATTAAAAGATCACTTATAAATTTTTCTTAATTTTTAATTCTTTCTAGTCAGCAAAGATCTACCCTCTCTGCCTCCCATTCCCCTGTACCTCAATTGAGAATGAAAGAAAAACAAAATCCCTTTTAGAAACATGTATAGTCAAGCAAAACAAATTTCTGCATTGGCCATGTCTTAAAGAAAAAAAAGTATATGTATGTATATAAACACAAATATACATACACATACGTAAATGTATGTCTCTCCTCTTTTATACATATATATATATGTATATATATATATATATATATATGTATATATGTACATGAATGAATTATTTCCTTGTTAGTAGTTTTCTAGAATCATGTTTGGTCATTAGAGTTCCTAAATCTTTCAAAGCTGTTTGTCTCTACAGTGTCTCTATAAATCTAACTGCAGAGAGTTAAGAAGAAAATGAGAGTCAAGGAAGTGAAGGCACCTACTATTGATAGCCTTCTCAAGGACTTTAGTCCACAAAAGGCGGGTTAGATACGGGATGATGATGGGGATGCATCGCTCAAGTGAGAGTTTTTTGATGGGAGAGATATGGGCATGTTTGTAGGCAGCAAGGAAGGAACCAGTAGACAGAGACTGAATATAAGTGAGAATCAGGATGATAGAGAGGCAATCCATGGTATAGATGGGATCACTTGTGCACATCGAGGGGTTTGCCTTGGCAAGAAGGGACACCTCTTCATCTGAGGCAGGCATGAAGAAGATAGTGGTAGAAGACATCTTGGTAATGTGAGAAGAGGAGCAGGGGGAAAGAGGGGAGACAAGGTTTTCAGCTGAGACTTAGAGTATATAATAAGGAGATATAACATGTATAAGAAATAAATATCATACAAGATAAAATATGACAAGGGCAAAGAAAAGAGCCTGGTAAATACTCTAAGAAAATGCAAGGAAGGAAAGAACACTTTCAGCCCAGGGGATTAGGAATAACTTTCTAGAGGTGGCAGCTATCACAGGTCTTGAAGAAAGAAGCATCAGTAGATGCTGAGGGAACATTTCAAGTATGTATATGGCTTCATGGAGGCAAATAGAAGTGCAGGTTGGTAAAGGATAGCTAGTAGTCTGGTGTAGTTGGAATATGAATGCATTTGGGGATGAGAATGAGATAAGGTTGGAAAAATAGGCTGGAACTGGTGAAAATCAAGAGAAGTTATGTCAAAATACTTTACAAGCGATATATACATTCTTTAAAATAAAAGATTTTATTGTTATCAGATTATAGTTTTTGTTTCTGTTTTACAGTGGAATATCTTTTAAAAATATTAACATTAAAAATATAAACTCCAAGTTTTGGGTTTGTTTTAATAGGTGAATGTTTATGTGCTGGGGAAAACATTTCTTCTTTTGGCCAGAGAACTCTGCATCAATGCTCCAGCAATAGGTATGTTTTTGTTGTCTGAGTATTTGGACAGTGCTTGTTTTCTGAAAGAGTACAGGTTTTTTTTGAAGCCAGAGAATAAAGTGCCATGGTCTTTGAAGAAATAGAAGGGGTAGGGAAGGAGCACTTGAAAATCCAGAGATTTCCCAGGTAAGGAAATTTTTTAAAACTATAAAAAGCCCATTATAATTAAGACCTGCTTTGGGTAAAGAAACTTGAATATTGTTCAAGGCTACTAGCTCAGATGTGGGTTTTGGGAGATGATCATTCCCTTTAAAGGCAATAGGCAATATGTGGGGAAGATGCATATCTTAGAAACTCTTGTGCTATATAAAATTTTCTGTGGTTAGAATAGAAGGTTGTGGAGTCCTTTCCCATTCAAACCCAGCTGATATATTTTTTCAGATGAATATTGCTGCTTTTAATCACTACTTTTAATCAGTCATTCTCTTGGAAGTTCTTATCTGTGTGTGTCTTCTAGAATCTTTTTATGTCAAAGGTCCATATCAGTTAGCCATTGGGAGGGAAAGAAACTGGAGGTAGTTTTACCTCACTCTTCATTTGAGAACTATCTGTGCCCTTTAATTTTTATGCTAACATTATCTCTGAGACAACTGTTCATAAATTACATCTATTACTTAGGCCTTTGTTGGGCAAAGCATAGATCAGGCACTCAGAGTTATTAACACCAGCTTAAAGTTGTAGTCAGAGCTATCATTTTACCTAGATAAGGTTCACCATATGTCTAGCTACTAAGGAAAGAGATCAGGAGTCTTATGTCACAGAAATAAGAACTCTTTTTAGAAGATTATTTATGATTAGTTGCCTAATGCTTAATGCAAAACAAGCAAATGAATTGTTCACATTTTGATTTTCAGTCCTGACCTACATAGAAAGATAAAATTGGCTAATCTGCAAAGATTTTTAGACTAGCGGGCATCTTGGAAATCATCTAATACAATCCCTTCATTTTATAGATCATACCCAGAGGGATAAAGTCATTTATATAAAGTTACATAGGTGGCAGAGCTGGTATTTGAACCAGATTCTCAGATTCCAAATCTAGTACTTCCCTGTACCATTGTGCCTTCTACCTAGTCAGTAACTTCTGACGATACTTTGCATATACCTTTTCTGAAATGGTGGTATGTGGGAGCTTGTATGGAAAGAGTAGTAAGACTGAGATATGACTGGGAGGAATGGGAATGAGGGGAAGGAACAGTAACCAGAAGACAGAACTGAGGGCATCAGTATTACAGAGGTGGGTTTCAGCAAAACCCCAGAAAAGCTGTGGCATGGGTATATTCAAGTAACTGAGACATCAGTGGTCAAATTTCATGAGCCCTCTAGGCCATCCGTCAGCCCAGAGCCCAGGAAGGACCAGGGATACTGATAAAAGCATCTGTTAAAGCACTTTGATGTGTCTGTACTCATGGCCTTTACAATCCTTTCCTGTTAGAGATTTCTAAGTCAGGCACTGTGCACCAGGGGACCATGACAGTGTCTTTCCAAAATGAATTAACTGCTTCACAATACAAAATAGCATGAAAGGTAACAGATTGAGAACTTTGGAAACCAAATTTTAACTTAATATGAATATATGCTTAACCAACTCTCAATATCACTTATCAAAACATTTTAAGTGTTGGACTCATATTGCCAACTATCTACTCATTATTATAATTATTTAATTTCAAATTTTCTGTGACAGAAGCAACAAGATTAGTGGTGAAAAGGATATTAGAAACAATTTTTAGCTGCACTTAGGACCCACCTTTTTAAGTAGGCACAAAAGACTGGACATAATATAGAAATGGATTTTCCATGTTAAAAGTAGAATTACTTTTCCTTTTAACTGGTTATACATTTCTGTTTATTTTATAGCCATTTCATGTGTTTGTATTCCCAGTGCTTAGTACATTATAAAGCACATAGTAGGCCCTTATAAATTGTTGTTGACTTAACATCTTTAAAAAATAACACCTAGGATTTTTCTCCATTCTTTTGGTTTATGAGGATGGTTTTATCAGTTACGCTAGTGGTTTTTCACTTGTATTTGAAATTTGGCAATGTACCATCATTGAGGCAGCGTGCTGAAGTGGATAGAGAGCTGGCCTAGAAGCCAAGAACTTTGTTCAAGTTCTGCCTCAGACACACATGGGCTGTGTGATCCTGGGCAAGTCATGTAACATCCCACTACACTAAGCCAGTGATGTCAAACTCAAACATAAATGGGAGGCCATTAAACCCTACATATATATTTACATTATCTATGTTTTATGGTATTTTAAAATTTATTTTGTTAAATACTTCCCAATTCCATTTTAATCTGGTTCTGTCCCAACTCCTTGGAGTCCATGTGTATTTGACACCTCTGCTCTAAATAAGTCTTTAAAATTATAAGTTGCAGAAAAGGTGCTAACCTGTATTAATAAATGGAGGTATAATACTGACTTGGCACTTTCCTATACTAATGAAATTATAGGTCCATTCCCTGTTTCTTTCTCTACCATCAGGTTTGGTATCCCAAGCCACTGAATTTTATTACATAAGATAAATTTCTTTTAAAAAATATATTTTAATTGAGATCTTTTGTTTTTATGTAATCTGTATCTTTCCCCTCCCAACAAACATTCCATTTAAATGAAGAATTTTTTTGTAAAGAGAAAAGGGGAAAAAAGTCAGCAAAACTGAACAATACATTGAAAACATTTGACAACATATGGAATGTTCCACATCTTTGGGCTTCATCTTTGCAAAGAAGATTATGTGTCTTCTTTGGGCGCTAAGCTTATTCCTTATAATTTTAAGAAATGGATTTTCAAAACAAATATAAGATTTTATTATTAAATTATATTATTTAAAATATTACTTTCTCCATAGCTCTAGAGTACTATACTGTATAAAAAACTAAGCTCTCATTGAGATTTAGTTCATGTTCATGTTCTAAATTATATTATTATAACTAAGGTATTTTTACATCAGTGGCCATAGAACCCTGTTAGCTCAGTGAGGGAATTTGGGGAACATCTTTTGCCTTTTGAAGATGACATAGAACAAGCATACTTTTCCACAACTATTTCTTAATATTATTTATTGTTAGATACTGACTGGATGGTTTATTGTGGTTAAATTACAGTAGCATTTCCTATGTTACTGTTCAAATGGGTACCACTGAATTTTGTTTGATATATTAATTCTTCTAAAGATGATTGATTCTTCTTTAGAAGAAGGCTCAGTGATATCAGCAAATGAACCTGAGATTGTGAATGTAATAAAAATCTGTCATCTTCTTCTACATTCCTTTAAGTCACAGCAACCCAGACAACTTTGGAAAATCAAAGCAGCATCTTTCATTTTAGAAATGAAAATCTGATGGTTGGGCAGGATTTTGTATCTTTTTTTGATAGAGAGCTGGAAGAGACCCCAGGGGCCACTTATTCCAGTGGCTTATTTGAATTTGTTGATTTTTATGCTTTGGAACTAGTAAGACATGAACCACAAAGAAATTTTAAAAAAATGAATGAATGTACAGACTTTTAGGGTAAAGAAAAATGTTTTATATTTCACGGGTTCATAAACAGCTGTATTTTAGAACAGTTTTTCAAGGTCAGCCATAATCTGCAAGTTAGTTGTCTACATACAGAATAAATAAAATAGGATTAAATCCAAGAGCATTCTTTCACTTAGTCTGAGAGGCTGCTATTTTAAGAGTAATGTAATAGCTGAACATGAAACAGCTGTAGAATTTTCTAGTTTTGAACAAATCCCTTTCATGTGCATAGCAGTATTGGAATACAATTCTCATAAAGTATCTCACGCATAGAAAATAAGCTCTGGAATCTGTCCTCCTTGGACCCCAGTGCCATTGGTACTGTCTGAGGAGCACTGGAATTGAAATGTCACTTTTCCACACTGAACTTCAGTCATTCCCTCCTGTCCAAAGTAACTAAGTTCATTACCGTCCAAGATGGCACTAACATTGTAAAACGTGTCTTGTTCGATTTGAACTGGATGTTCAAACCAGACTGAAAATGTATTGCTGGATCCATCTGAGAGGAACTTTGTCAGATTATGAGCAAGAACAGCATTTAGCCGTTTAAGTTCAATTTTCACACTGTACTCAGCTTTCCCACAGCTTGATCCGTATAATCCGAGTCCTGCAATAAATATCCTCTTATCTACTGCGAACTGGATGCTGTCACATCGTCCACGGTACCTCCACTGGTTGCTCCGATACGCAGATGATTGAAATCGGTGGCATCTCTGAGGAGCAAGGCCTTTCCTTTTTGTCAGTGGAAACTCCAGCTGTGGTTTCTTGGTAGCTGTGTACCACAGGAATATGCTGCGTGTTTCTTCCAGGGTTAGAATATCTGATTGAGCAGCACCATTGGCAAACTCTTCCAGGGTCATAGTTGGAATTCGTACTAAAAATAAAACTCTTCCCAATACTTTCCTCTTATTTCTTGGTGTAATTGGCAAACCTTCTCTTTTGCATTCAGCTTCTGCCCAGTTCAGAACAGCTTCAAAGATAACTACCTCCTTGGTGTTTAGTGATTCCCTGCTCAGGATAATCTCTAACGTTTGTTGATCTATTTCACAAAAGCCCTCTGACCTTAATGCCATCTCTGCTTGAGCATCAATCACTTCCCAGCAACGCTGGGTCAGTTCCGGTTCCTCAAAGAGTCTGCTTTGGGAGAGCAAAACACAAGCATTTTTCGCCTCTAAACTAGTCTCTAGAAAATGGACACAAGCTTTTGCTAAAGCTGGAACAATATACTTCTTGGCAGCGTAGAGAGTTGCAAGCACAGTGTCAGCTTCCAGGTCAATTTCATCACTATACATGTACCTAGTCAGAGTAAAACAAATTTAAGAAGGCACTGACAGGGGATGGGGGAGGTTTTATATACTATTTTAAATGCTACATTTAAATGAGCTATATTATTTAAATGCTATGCTATTTTATATGCTATTTTACATAGCAGAGTATACATTCACCAGAAAAAGTTAACCTTTTAGAATTTGGGAGATCAGCAATTTACCAGGTCAATTGTTATCCATAGTGGATTTACCCTGCAGCTTTATAAATAGTATTGATTTCATAAGTCCTTAGTGTACTGCCTTTCCTCTAATGAGCACTCAGTATACTTTAATTGATGATGATGCAGCCTGAGTCCCTGTAACCACTTTGTAATTTCAAGGCAAGACTTACTTTAACAGGATGAGGAAAGCTGCAGGCTCCACATCAGGTATATGGATTTCAGATTTGACTTCTGCAAGATCACCATAAAACATGGCATAGAAGACAGAGCTGCCAACTGCCAGCACATACTGTGAAGAAAAACATCTTGCCGGTAAACAGCTGTGTTCAATCTAATTAAATTCACTAGTCAATAAATACTACAGAGAACTGTGAGTACCTCCATCTAAGCAAATTTGGCTTTGGTGGCTCAGGGTAATTAAGACGTATGGAAGCAATTTCACATTATATGAAATTACATTCTAAAAGGTTCCAGGTTTTCTCTAGTGGTTCACATGGAGGAAAACAGTTCTACAAACCTTATGAGCAGGAACCCGCTTTGATGCCTCCAGAGGGCCAATGATAAAGTGTACATCAGCCATGAGTTCATTATTGAACATCATTGCATTCCTGGAAATTGCAGAGAAAAAAATGCTTAGGTCTGCAGCTTAACAAACATTTAGCATACAGTGTGATTTTTCTCAGCCTTCTCACTGGAGGATACATGAACCTGGACAGAAGCAGAGGCTAGGCCTTCAAACTAGTTAAACGAGAAAGCCAGAACATGTTCATCCCATTCTCATTTTTTGCAAATGAAACCATGGACATCAAACCACTGCTCAATGACACAGCCTCTCCCCCAGTTTTAGACAATCCCCTCTAGTAAAATATTTTCTCAGTGAGGAGTAAGGCCTGCCAGAGTGTAAATACATCTGATCTGGCTTCTTACCTCTCTCGAAGAGTGGGGTAGAATGACTGCCAGTTGGTACTCTCGAAGTTGTTGTTAAGATTTTGCACTTGTGCTGGTGGTGGTGATTGGGCTGTTTGATGAAGGTGAAGGGAGCTATTCTTGGTACTAGCTGCAGTGACTGTGGTGGCAGTGGTAGTGGAATTACTGTTTGTGATGTTGGTATTAGCACTGGTAGAGTAAAGTTCTGCAGCCATCTTCTGCAGGGACAAGGGCCCTACCTCATAGCATACTGGCACTTTGCCATTAGCTATCACATTCTTTTTGGACTCCTTCAAGGTTACTGGAAGGAAGAAAAAAGAAAGTCAAATACTACATGATTCTGACACTGAAGTAACTTGGGGGCCAGAAGCATGAATGAGAGCTTACTACTGGGAGGGCCTGTATGGAACAAAACAACCTCAGGGGCAAAAGAGCTGATGACCAGTGCTCACCTCTGTTTGTGTAGGGCCAAGCTTCAGGCCTGGGGCAGGGTGGCCAAAGAAGTGGAGCCCTCCAGGGATGATTGCAAATAGTCCAGTAGCAGCAGCTGTACAAATCCAGAGCCCTTCGTAGCTGAGAAGGCAGGCACCTTGCCTGCCCCTCAGCCAAGCACTAGACTCAGTTCCAGGGATCCGTTTTTGGTGGGTTTTTTGTACCCAAACACCAAGACCCTGGGGGGAGAGCTGCAAATTGGCCTCAAATCAAAAAGGGCCAAATACAGATGAGTCCCCGTTTAGTTTCCAGGCTTGAAATTCCTGGGCTGTGAAAACTGCTGCGCATCCCCTCCTGGTGCGCACCCTCCGGCATAGCTGTAGATTCCGTGGGCAGAGTTGGTAGCCGGCGCAGGGCGGGGCTGGTCCTGGCGAGGGGCTCTCCAGAACGGAGCTAGGAGTGCCACAGAGCGCTTTTTTTGCCTTCGGCCATTAGGGTCACTTCACTTATTTGTCCCAGCAACTTCGTAGAGGGTGCTGAGGGGGCTGGAGGTAGAGCTATTTGTCATTCAATGGGTGCTGACGAAGTCCAGTTCTGGCACCTTCCCCCTCCCCCGCCCTTTTTCCTCCTCTTCCCTCCCTTCCTCCCAGCTCTCTTCCCTCCCTCCCTCCCTCCTTCCTCCTTCCTTTCTCCTCCTCTTGAGCCGCCCTAATAATCGCCAGCCTTGGTGCACGTCAGCAGTAGCATCTCCAATGGAAAGAGCTGGTGGGCCCAGGCTCCCCCCATTTTCGTTCTCCCTTGCCCAACCCAGACAATATGTCATTCTCCCCGCTTGTCGCCCATTCCCCACTCCCTACTGCTCCTTGGGGAGGAGGAGGCCCCTACGGAGGTGGGATGCGGCCGTGGGGCCCCTATTTTAGGAAGGGAGATTGAATGGAGAGGCCAGAGGCCCTGGAGGCCAAAGGTCCTGTGGGCGGTGCTTCTGTTCTCTTTCCACCCTTCCTAAAGCCCTCCCCAGGCCGCCTCAGCCGTGGAAGCTGACCCAGCTCAGGGGCAAGGGAAGGAACCGTGGGCATGGGCAGAGCTGGGGCGCTCGGCGCCTCGGGAGTGCAGGGGGCTGAGGGCGGCGGCACTCCCTGTGGCCCCCCCCAACACACACATACCCCGCCTTTTTATTACTCCGTGTCTGGGGCTTCAGGCTGTAAGATCTCCCGCCCGGTGCCCCTTCCCTGCCCCAAGAGGACTTGGGGCCATACCTGGGCTCTCAGCCTTCTCTCCTCCCTTCGCAGGCTGGCAAAGTTTGCACAGAAAGCTCCTTGGTGGAGTCAGAAGCCATGATTACGGAGCTGGGAGGGGAGGGGCTTGGGCTTGCTGCGCTTCCCCGCCCGGCCCAGCCTGGCCCCTCTGCTGGCCTGCGCCCGCCTGCCCGGTGGGGCCGAGCGGGGGCGCTCCTTCCCCGCCTGGCGCCAGGGCCCCCCCTCCCCCAACCCCTCCACTGCCTCCTGAATCACAGCCGGGGATCAGGCACCCCGAAAAGCCGCCGCAGATTGAGGCTTCCGGAAGAAAAGGGGGGGGGGAAGCAACTTTGATGATGATTGTGGCTTCTGGGCCCAGTCTCGGGTAGGGGGGAAAGCTGAACTGGCCCTTCCCCCAACCTCCACCTCTTCTAACTTTGCTAAGGAGTTTATCTGAGCATGAACAGGAGACTGCAACCTACCCGAAAGACCTGTTACGTTCCTTGCTGGCGTATATCATCATGCTTCTCTTTGCTATTCTTGATGGGAAGTGTGTTTTCTGTTGTCAAAAATAATACAGTACCAAACCCCCAATATCAGGATTTCAACATTTTGTGTATTTGTAAGGCCTGGCAGTGCTAGTATTCCTACGGGGATAGGAGTTGTACCTGTTAGAGCACATTTAAGTGAAGGATCTGGCAGGAGTGGGTTGCAGTAAAAACCTTTGTCTCTCTGAAAGGAACTTTCAGTCTCTGTGATCCTGATAGAAATCCTATTGGTATTTGTAGAGCAAGACTCTTCCCAACTGTTTTGCCTTTTTCTTAGCTTCTAGCTTTCTAGCTTCACCTTTTACCCTCTGATTATATTTTCTTTTCCTTCAGCTTTGAATTGAAGTACCATGACCACAGAGAAAGATATTTCTGGTAGTTTCGTTTCTTTGCGATTGTTTGCTGGGGCCATTAATGGGGAAGAAAGATGAAAAGGGTTAAAAACTGAGTTCTTGAAAAACATGTATTGAGAAATTACAAGTACACACTTTAGAAAACTTGACTCCCTTTCACCACAAGAAATAAAATTGTGAAGGTTTGCTCCATCTTTTATGTTTGTAGTGGGATCTTCCCACAGTTAAACAATGGAAACAATTTTTAAAAATTAGCAAGGAGTGCCTCATTTTCTAACTGTCCAGCTCCTTTATTTTGAGTGTGAAATGAATAATAAAATTCTATTGCATAGGAATCCAAGAGGAGTTATATTGTAGTGAGAAAGCTAGGAGGCCACAGCTAATAGAGTTCTGGGCTTGGAACCAAGAAGACCTGAATGCCAATACTTTTTCAAACATGTTTCCCATGCCTGGATTATGTTCCCTCCTCATCTCTGACTCCTAGCTTCCATGGATTACTTCAAATCTCGGCTAAAATGTCATCTACAGGAAGCCTTTTCTGATTCCCCCTTAATGCTAGTGCTTTCCCTTTATTATCTCCAATTTATCCTCTATACATCTTGTTAGTTTTACCAGGAAATAAGATCTCAAAAAGGAATCTGAAAGTCACCTACAAACCATCCCAAAAATAAAAGGAGCATGATTTACAAATTTTATCATGTATTAACTAAAATTCATATCCTAGCAACATGTGTTGAATCAGGAGAAACCATCTAGGTGCTGCTTGTCTGGGCCTTTCATATAAAAATTTAAGAGAAAAATCCAGATTTTCTCAGGTCCAGACAAGCAGAACATCAAAAAGGTGCTGATAATTTTGAAGTTTTACCAATAACTTTGAGATCATTTGGATATGTTAATGAACTAACCATGAGGTAGGACAGATTGAGGTTGATCTGTTTCCCTCCCAAAAAACCCTATCAAAATGAGACCTCAAACTTCTGTATACCACCTCCCCCCATCCCCAGCATTCTTCTGTCTCCATGCTGCCTAGTATCTGCCTCTCTCCCTCCTTATCTTCTTTTCTAACTGCCTCTCTAAACCATTCTATTCCCTGTCCCCACACCATTGTCTGCCTTTGTATCCCCTTCCCACTGCTTGTCTCTGTGCCTTATTAAAGTGTGATAGCTGCTCTATTTCCTGCTGCCAATTGTGGTCTTTTTTAGCAAGTACCCAAAGAGCCAGGTGTATCTGCCCCATTTCAGAATTTTATAATTTCATAAATTAATTTTCAGTTCAGTTGAATATTTGTCTCCCCCATTAAACTGTGAGCTTTTTGAGAGTAGAGTCTATCTTTTGCCTTTGTTTGTATCCCCAACCCTTTATCACAGTGCTTGGCACATAGTAGGTACTTCATAAATGCTTATAGCCTGACACACAATAGCAGTGTGCACCGGGCCGAGTTACTTGGAACCTTATCTATAAAATGAGGATATTTGACTTTATGGCTTCTAAAGATCTTCCCACCTCTAAGTTTATCATCCTATGAAGAATCCAAATTAAATGACTAGTATTTTGAATCCAGGAGAATATAAGGTTGCAGATATAAAACGTGTATAGAGCAAATTGTTAAGACCTAAATTATGGAAGTAAACTGAGACTTAAAAATATCCAAAGTTTATACAGTAGTTGAGTTGCTTTGATAGTGTCTTGGAACTTAGTATTTTTAAGAGCTTTGTAACCAAGCTTTATAATTGTTGTCATTAATAATATCTTACATTACCTCAAGATGTTCATGGGTGTTAAAATTTTAGATACTCAACAATTTCCATTAAACTATTGATTTAAAAGAAAGGTAAAAGAAATCTATTAGTCACCAAGAAATATTTGTTACAATGATGACTGTATTCTAGCCCTTCTTTTAGCTTTCACTGTAGGGCCTTAAACACATCTGATGACAGAAAGCCTCAGTAACTAGAAGATACCCAGTAACCATTCATGCCTTCTTATCCTATGCTGTTCTTGTTCATGTCCTTCCAATAAACTGTCCATAGGATTAATCAGTTTGTTAGAGAATTTCTCTTAGAACTAGGTAGTTTTTATTAGAAGTCCTTTTTTCTAGAACTGGGGGGGGAGGGGGTTGTTTGGTGTTTTTTTTTTAGGTTTTGTCTCTCCTCCCTTTTATCTCTGGATCGAATTTGCTTGGCTGTCTCTAGTTACTTTTGAATTCTATTCCTAAAGCTTTTCTTGTATGAGGCCATGAGAAAGCAACATGGCATAGTGGAAAGATTACAGGGTCTGGGAGTCTGGTGGCCTGGCCTTGATTTCTAGGTATGCTACTTAACTAGTTTTATGACCTTGGAAGATTCACTTCTGTGAGCCTCTGTATTTCCTTTAAACATTAAGCCCTCTGATTTTACAAAGAAAGTTTAATCCAGCCTAGGAGCCATAATTAGGACTGACTAGTGTCTATGGGTGCCCTAATATATAGACAGAGGAGAAGGGAAGTCAAAGTGGAACAAGAAGATGAAGCAAAGAGATAGGACAGAGAAGGGGAAAGAAAGAAGAAAGGTGGTGCCCATGGTAGTGGAAGAAATGACTTCATTATAATTACTTTCTTCCCTTAGAAGTATCAATACCCATAAGAAGATGATTTTTCCTGATCATGTCTAAGCTAGACTTAGGAATCAGGATTTCTCCTGATCATTCGTAGGCTTCCACAGTCATCAGCAAGTTAGAGTTCATTTGGGTAAAATTTTCTTTGTACTGTTCTGTTAATTCTGCTTATGTTTTGGGTGTCTTGTTAAAGTTAAAAAAACTCTTTCCAAAAGGCAACTGGACCATTTTCTTGTGTATCAGGAAAGTGAAGGGAAGTGATTCTTGCAGAACCTGGGGACAAAGAATACTTCCTTAATTAAAGAGTTAAGGGTGTGAAATGGGGCTATGGATGAAGTGGTGAGGTGCCTTTGTAGCAAATTTCTCTGATAGATGTCTGATATACAGTTGATGTAAATGTATAATAATAAGAAACATTCCCCAGTAGATAAATAGTTAAAGGGTATGAACAGAAAGTTTTCAAAAGAAGAAATCCAAGTGATGACAGTGGGGGAAAAAGCAGTCTCTCTAGAGTCTGAACACCTAGGTATCACTTCTGAGAATACTTGGGTGACTTAACCTTAAGTAAGTCACTTAACTGCCTTGGGCCTCAGTTTCTTAATTTATAAAATGAAGATATTGGACTAGATTACATCTGAAGTCCCTTTGAGCTCTGAATATGTGATCTTACGATTCTGCAGTTTTCAGCAACCATATGAAAAAAATACTCCAAATGTAAATTAAAACAGCTGCATACCCTTACATTAGCAAAGATGACAGAAAGAAAAATGATCACTATTGGAGGAGTTATGGAAGGACAGGCACATTAATGCACTATTGGTTGATCTGTCAGTTGATGCAATAATTCTGGAAAGCAATTTGGAATTATACCTCAAAAATTATCAAACTGCATGTTCTTCTTTGACCCAGTAATACAACTATTAGAGAGATGCCCCACAGTGATTTAAAGATAGATAAAGAGGATCTATATGTATAAAAATATATATAATATAGTATTTACAGTTATAGCAAAGAACTGGAAGCAAAATGAGTACTAACCAGTTGGGATTATAAATTATGATATTTGACTCTAATGGTATATTATTATGCTACAAGAAATGACCAACTAGACAATTTCAGAAAAGATTGGAAAAACTTTTATAAATTGATGCAGAATGAAGTGAGTAGAACTAGAATAACTTATATGATGGCTAAAATAATGTAAAGTAAAACAATTTTGAAAGACTTAGGAACTCTGATCAATGCAGTTATCAGTCATGACTCTTGAAGAGTGGTAATGAAGAATGTCTCCCACCTCTTGGGAGAAAGGTGATGAACTATAGCAAGCCTATGCAACTTGTGGCCCTCAGGCCACTTGCAGCCTGCCAAAGGATTTTGGGTAGCCTGCAAAAAATATTGAGGATGTTATTATGTTTTCCTCTACATTTTTCAGGAATTGCTGGAAAACCTTTGGCGTGCTGCAAGTGGTTGGCCTGCAGGCCACAGGTTGTACAGGCATAGACTATAGGTTCAGAATGGGACACAGATTTTTATACATGGCTAATGTATAAATTTATGTTGCTTGAATATATTTGTTATAAGGGATATCTTTTATTTTTAGGGGGAATAGGTGTTGAGGGAGAATTGGATATGTATTGAAAGGGTTGCCAGAAAATAATAAGAAAATATTAATGAAAAAATATGCAGAAGAAAACACAAGGAAGTTGAGAAGGAACACAGACAAATAGAGTAGTGTTGATATACAGCATGGAGAGTCAGGAAACCTTAGTTTGAATAAACATTGGCTGTGTACCTCCAGGTAAGTCATTTGACCTCTTTCAGGTTCAGATTTCTTATATTTAAAATGAAGGTAATAATAGCAGCCATCTCGTAAGGTTGTTGTCAGGATCAAATGAAATCATATATGTAAAGTGCTTTACAAACCTTAAAACACTATATAAATATTGCTATGTTATAAAATAAACTTGATAATGATGTGATAAATTTAGTGTACACTTCAACAAAAACTGAAGTTAAACACAATGTAGATGCATGATAGTTTTAAATTCTGTTCTTTTGTATACTAAATGTTGGTTAAGTTTAAGTTTATAAACTAGAGAAAATTTAAAAATAAAACTTTAAAAAGTTAAAGAAAAAGGTTCATTCTCTAAGCCACAGGAGATTTTATTCAATTGTACTATTAATACGTAGTGACATTTTTGTGCTACATAGGAAGTTTGTCTTCAGATGCACAGAATATTTTCGTATATACTCTTTTGGTTATTTTTTTTCCTCTGAATTGATCTATGTATGTTGTCCATTGAACATCATTGTTAATTATCTATTTGTATTTTGATTTAAGAATTTTTTTGAAATTTTTTTATATAGGTAATTATAATCTCTTAAATTGCCACCAGTAATTGGAAATACAATGAACTGTGAATGGGACACTGAGATAAAAATAGCAGCGTGTTATATACTGGTCTTGGGACCATAAAAGAGGTTAAAAAGACCTTGGAGATCTCTTGGCCAAATCCACCAAAGAAGATACTGAAGCAAGTTTTTTATGTAGCCAGTGCTTAAAGACTTCCAGTTATGGGAATGTAATATCTGAGTCAGCCTTAATCCATTGTTGAACAGTTCTAATCATTAGGAAGATTTTCTTCATATTGAGTTGAAATCTACCTCCCTAATATTTATGCTACTGATTGGTCCTAATTTTGCCTTCCAGCATCAAGCAGAACAATCTTATCCTTCTGCTACATAATGGTTCTTCTTCAGATATTTCAAGAACATGACATTCCCCTTAATTTTTCTCCATACTGAGCAACCTTCTACAAATCCTCTTATGGCATGGTTAATAGTCTTTATTATGTCAGTTGCCCTCCTGTGAACATGTTTTAATTTGTCAATGTGCAGTATAAAATGGGGTGCCCAGAAGTGAAAATAACTCTAGATGTGGTCTGACAAAGACAGAAGTATAGTGGATCTATTGATTGCTTTGCTCTATAGAGTATTTCTCTTAAAATTATATTAGCTTTTTTTTGCTGCCACATTGCATTATTCTTTAAGTGTATAGTCCACCAGAATCCCCAAATCTTTCTGCGTCCTAGTCATGCCTACTTCATCTTATAGTTGTATATCTGATATTTTGAACCAAATGCAGAACTTTGCATTTATTGCTGATTAAATTTCACCTTGCTATCTTTTGCTCACAAATCCAGCCTGCCAAGATCTTTTTGAATCATACTGTCATACAACACGTAAGCATTCCTCTTGATTTTATACCGTCTGCAAATTTGATATATTTTCATCTAAATTATTGATTAAAGGGACGGCTAAGTGGCACAGTGGATAGAACACCGGAGTCAGGAAAACCTGAATTCGAATCCGGCTTCAGACACTTGACACTTACTAGGTGTGTAACCCTGGGCAAGTCACCTAACCCCATTGCCTAACTCCCCCCCCAAAAAAATTATTGATTAAACAACGTGATGTCAAAGACAAGTCCCTAAGATACTCCTTTGGAAGACTCATTCTAGGTTAATATTAATCTGTTAATCACTTTGGATTTTGTCATTTAACCAGTCTGGCCTCAAAGCATTCCATGGCCTTATTTACATGTGCTTTAGGGAAATAATAAAACATGAGGCCAGTGACACAAAAACATATTCTCTATGCTGGTATTGAGTGTGTGTGTTTTATTTTTGTTTTTTGTTTGTTTTTTAAATAGATCCGTGTCTGTACATTCCTCGCTTTGCGCATATGCTGGAGTTTGGAGAAAAGAACCATGAGGTATCCATGACAGCCCTGAGACTACTTCAGAGAATGAAGAGAGACTGGATGCACACAGGGCGCCGACCCTCAGGCCTCTGTGGAGCAGGTATTTGGTCCAGAGAATGAATTGTAAATGTTAGCGCAGTTCCAGTGGCTAGCACCTAACCATGTAGGAAATTCAGAGGAGAGAGCAGAACCTACAGGGGGCTGCTACAGCGTCCTCTTTCTGGGAAGGCTGTCTAGGTAGCCTCAGTTATAGGAAAAACGTGTGGGAAATGTATGTTAACAAAGATCCATTTTGACAATATGAAGTTAGTTCTGTAAAACTCACTTTTTTCCCAAAAAATTTTAAAAGTTTTAAATGTACCTCCTTGCTAATCCTTTGAGACAACGTCCCCTTTCTCTGTTGGCTCTTCCTTTTCCCCTGACCTCTTTATTCTTTGCCTCTTGTAAAGAAAGTAAGACATGTAGGAAACTAAGAATTGAGCTTCAAGGTGAGAGAACCTGGGAAGTAACCTTGAAGTGTGAGGGAGGTAGAAATGGGGTGTTTTTCTTTTTCTTCTCAGGAGGGTCTTGAAACCATTCTACTACAGGTGGTCTTACCATTAAATGTATATGCTTTAAAAAGAAATCCCACTTGTCTATTTATCTAGTTGTAATGACAAAATGCCAAGAAAACCCCATGGACAGTTTGGGCATGATATGGTCCACAGGATCACAGAGTCAGACACGACCGAATGACTGAACAACAATTACAGAAACCATACAACTGAATTTCTTACTCTTCCAATATTGTTAGTATAAAAAAGTGCATAAGAGTTTTCCTATGCCTTAAATCCTAGGGAAGCTGTCATAGCTTTTTTGTGTCATTGAATGCCAAAAAAGTTATTCACATTCCTCTGGCTAACTGTATATAACAGTTTAGAGATAACTGGAGCTATTCCTCATTCAATATTTTAAAGAATATTATCTACTTAAATCTTACTTTGATAATGTCTCATGGCAAGGAGGTGACACTGTCTTCTCAAAGTCCAGACTAGGAGAATTCTAGGTTTTCATTTCCTTTTAAATTTTTTTTAACGAATTTAATAGTTATCAAGAAACACAAATATTCCAGTATACAAAGAATCATATGTGAAACCATGAACCTCTGTTATGGCCAGTCAGTTTTTTGAAAGTGTATTAAATTGAATAACATAGTAATGAAATTTCTTTGATTGTGCCCTCTTATGAACTTATTTTGGTTTTCTTATGTGTATTTTTAGTGTTTTTGGTTTTTTGGGGTTTTTTGTTTTGTTTTGTTTTGTTTTTTGTCTAGGCAGTGGGGTTAAGTGACTTGCCCAGGGTCACACATCTAGTAAGTGGTATGTGTCTGAGGTCCGATTTGAACTCAGGTCCTCCTGACTCCAGGGCTTGTGCTCTAGCCACTGTACCACCTAGTTGCCCCCTTTTTGATGTCTTATTGATTTTTTTTCTTTTACATCTGTTACAGTGACTCACTCTCCCCAACTTCCCTTAAAAGCCCTCTCTCGTTACAAATAAATATAGTTAAGCAAAACAAATCCATGTATATCGGCCATATCTGAAAGTGAATGTTTCATTTTGTATCTGTGATCCCATCACCTTTCTGCTGAGAGATGGGAGGCATGTATTTCACTGAAGTATTGATTAGTTTGTGCATTGATCAGGCTTCTCAAGTCTTGCAAAGTTATTTTCCTTTACATTATTGATACATCATATAAATTATTCTCCTCTTATTTTGCTCTCAGTGAGTTCATACAAAACTTTCCAAATTTCCTTGTATTCTTAAGAGTCATAATATTTCTGTCAGGTTTTTTCCAAGCTGTTCAAATTCTGTGGTATCTAAGAACCAGCCTAGCTTATAGACAAGTTTATCACTTGAAGGTTGACCAAGAGAAGAAAATTTTATTTTTGGCCACAGTAACTCAGGAAATGGTCTAAGGTACAGAGAGGTTGGAACATGTAGTAGAATGAGGAGTACTCTAATTAAATCATGGATTTTTTTGAAATATTGAAAAAGCTTAGAAATCATAGACTACTTAATTATTCATATAGCTGAACAGGAGTAAAAAAAGATATGCTGGGTTTATGTCTTATCCTAGAACATTTAAGAGTATTTTCTGAAGAATATAATGATATGACTTCAGACTATGTAGCTCTTGGAATTGGAACTACAACCAGTATAACTGTCTAGCTTTAGATATTCTGTAGTGGCTTGGATTCTCCCTGCTTCCAATGAGTATGTTCAGAAGCAGCATTTAATCTTGTCGTCATTGGTGTCAAATTCAAATATAAATGGTTACCACCAAATTGTACATCCTTGTGGGCTTCATATTGACTTTGAAAAACCACATATGGTCAATCCTCAACTTTCATAGGGGTAACATTCCTAGAAAATGGCGTGAAAGTAAAAAACGTGAATGTTGATACATTGAACCGATGGGAAATAGGAGGTTAGCTTTCTGCGACCACCAACAACTATAATCTTTCTCTAGAGATTGCTGGAAGTACACTTTTCCCACATACAGTTCTTTATAACAAAGCATTAATTCTGATACTGTGCACTTTTCCTAACACAATAACCATGAAATAACCCATAAAATGTAGTATACAAAATAAAATTGGTAACATTTTTGCTTGTTAGTAATTCCTGTGACTAGAATTCTGTAATCTCTTGTACTAACATCTCAATTAAAAACCAACAACAGACACTGTTCACTTTTCATAATACATGAACTCAAAACTAAAACATTTTTTAATCTGCAGCTTAACCTTTCACTGTCAGACAGTGGTATGAGCACTTTACACTATATAGTACACTGAGATATAAACCTCTGTAAATTGGCTGCCTTCAGAAAACCAAGGGAAAAGTTAGTGGAACTTTAGTTGCTGCTATTGGAAGATGCCGAGACTGGCGAGGTTTTGACATCATGTCTAACACTGGCCTTCATGGCTGGTAGCTGGCATTGGAGGTAGTGAAAGATGCACTGGTTTGAAATAAACTGTCATCAATGTGTGCTTCAGTGTGCCATTTGAGATCTTTAAGAGTATCCTAACCAATAGAGCTGCAGACATTCTTTCATGAAGTTTATTTAACGCCTTTATTTTCTAACTAAAGCAGCATCGCTAACTTTGCATACTTGGACTTAGAGCCCAAAGTACTTGGATTATGCTATGGGGGCATAATTGCAACACAAAACTTGAATTTTAAAGGCAAACGATGAAAATAAGCAATGAATGCATGGGGAACTCTTTGCAATGATAGGGTGAACAAGACCAGAGACGTGCCTACTAGAATACCAGCTTCTCCACGAACTTGTACACATTGCACCTCTAATTTTTTTCTCTACTGCACTTAGCTCTGAATGTGCATGGTTGCCAATGTGAAAGTGAAAATGAGGTTACTAATCAAATCATGCAAATTCTTGAAGTCTCAAAAGTTTAAATGCTGGAATGTTTAGGATTGACTGTATTAATACTACTTATGTCTGATTGTGCTTTTATTTATTTTGTTGAATATTTCCCAATTAAATTTTAATCTGTTCTTGGCAACACCTGGAAGTACTGTGAGTTTCATGGGCCTCTGTTTGACAGCTTTTTTCTAGACCACTATAGTATTCAATTATGTAGGATAGTTATTCTAGACTATACTTTTATAGTATTCTAGGGTATCTCCAGTTTTTGTTTTAGCTGCCATGAATTATCAAGATAAAATTCCTTTGAACTCAAGTTTTACAAAATGTGTTTGTAATATAAATTATATTTGACACACTTTTATTATGTATCTAATATATGCCTGTTAGTATGCTGACTCTTTATTACAGGAGACAATTTTGTCTAAACTAAGTTTAGAAAAGTTACAGTTTTGGCCCTTATACAATTTAGAGTCTATTAGGGGGTTAAGATAACCAAAAAAATTGTAATTATAATAATGCATGTTAGGTTAAAAGAGGCATAAACAAATTTCTGTGTGAGATTCCAAAGATGGAAAGTTATCATAGTACTTTTGGGGACTCAGGTATTGAATGTTGAAGACCCCAAAGAATAGAAATTCCTGCTTTGGTATTTGTTGAAGGAGTAAATTACTGACTGAGGACTTTAGTAATAGAATAATATTAGATTTAGAATTAAAGGACCTGAGTTTGAATCCCATCTCTCTTACTTTCTAGCTTTATGACCTTGGCCAAGTCTCTTTTTTCTTTTCTGATTTTTGGTTTCCTTTTCTCTAAAAATATAGTGGTTAGACTAGATCAAGGGTAGGTAACCTGCAGCCTCAAGGCCACATGTGCCCCTCTAGGTCCTCAAGTGTGGCCCTTTGACATCTCCTTAATAAAAGGATTTGTTCTGTAAAAGTTGGACTCAGTCAAAAGGCCACACCCAAGGACCTAGAAGGCCACATGTGGCCTCGAGGCCACAGGTTCCTCACCCCTGGACTATAGATAGTGCCTGAAGTCTCTTTAAACCCTAAGACCTATAATTTATGTTTTGTGTTTGGAAGCAAAATCTCAAAAGGGTTGATTTTGGCCATCCTGTGTTTGTACAAAGCTGTGTACATAAGCTTCTTCCAGGGTTTTATAGTAATAATAGTTAACATTTATGTAGTACTTTGAAGTTTGCAAAGTGCTTTACATATATACTGGTTCATTTGATCCTCAAAACTCCGTGAATTAAGTGTTATTCTCATATTTATAGATGAAAAACTGAATCTTAAATGACTTATTCAAGATCACACAGCTAATACAGTGTCTGGGTCAGAATTCAAACCACTCTTCCTGACTCCAAGTGCACCATCGTATTCACTTCCACCACTTATTCCTGTTCAGTGTTCTATCTGTACTCTGCCTAGTTAGATATCTGTGGATTGCCTGTGTATAATGTGTAGCCTGAATGTTTCTTAATTTTTAATTACTTCATAGTTTTACCAAGATTTTCCTTATTCATTTTGTAGCACTTCTAGTTGCAGCAAGAATGCATGATTTCCGACGAACTGTTAAAGAGGTTATCCGAGTGGTTAAAGTTTGTGAATCTACATTAAGGAAGAGGTAGGTCTGGTTTGAAGTTGCATACATAATTTAATGTGTTTCAGAGTTCTTTTTGCATAGGAATGTTGGAAATAACCTCTGGTAAACAAATAGACACAGTAAGTTAGACAGATTCAGGATGAGTGAAGCAGTTGAAACCTTTAATATGCTTCCTGCAGGAGGCGGGTGAGGAACTCCAGAGGAGCACACACACTACAGAAGTGAGAGCAAATCTTATATCCCTATTCCTGGCCACAAGCCCCTCCTAGCTGACTGTCGTTGGTAGAAGTCAACATAGGTCACAGACTTCCCTGAAATGCCTACCACATTTTCTCCTAGGTATGTGGCAATACTCCTTCTTTACACATAAAATGGCATCTTAACCCCACCCCAAGGCAGAGAAGCTAGTATTCATGAGCCTATTACACATGGACACTCTAAGTAGAGCTTAACCTTTGTCCTACTTCCAGCCTCTTTAATCAAACAACCAGTTTCACCCACTTTTAGCTGGTTCTTGAATCTCCTGACCCAGAGATACTTTCCTCTCTATTTCCTTATGTGGAAATATAATAGTTTCTTACTTCTCATAAGGAGTTTGATAGAGAAAAGGTTTTTTCTTCAGAATGTTCATTCCTCATGCCATTTTTATGGAGTTCTTGATACTTTGGAAGATACAGAATGGAAAAAGCACAGTTGCTTCTCAGTAAATGCTTGTTGGTTGATTACAGTTAAATTGGGGATATAAAATACACACACACACACACACACACACACACACACACACACACACACGAAAACTATAATAAAACATTGATATAGTTTGAAATGAATCTCAACTATCATGAAGGGATAAGAGGTGATAGGAAAAAGAGCCTGTCATGGAAATCTCTCTAGATTAAATTTCTTTAGGTCCTTCAACGGATCTTTGTGGGATATGGTTTCCTGGTCACTCTTCTTTGGACCCGATTTAACTTCTATTAAAAAATGGTGCCTGGAATAGAACACAACACCATTCTCCAGATGTGATCTGACTGGGGCACAATACAGTAGGACTATCACTTTTCTTATTCTTACTATGCCTTTTTTTTTCAATACTTCACACAAGTTCATGCTGAGCACGTTATTTACTCAAATCTCTGGGCTTCTTTCATGCAAACTGCTATCTAGCTTTATCTCCCTTACCGTCCACTTTTGCAGTTAATTTTTTTGAAAAGCTAATTGCAGGATTTTACTCATTCCTATTAAACTTTATCATATATATTAGACTCAGCCCATTTGTCCCATCTTCTCAGATTTTTTTCAGATTCTTCTAGCTCATGCCACTGGCTAATTTGAGAACCATCCGTCTAAGCTTTCCTTTAAGTGATTAATCAGAATGTTGAACAAAGTAGGGTTGGAAACAATACAGCCCTATGGGAGGTAGTCTTCAGTATATTCTCTGCCCACTACTCACATTTGGCTTTAAAGTGTGTTTCACCAATTATCTTGTGCACCATTATGGTGAGTTCATCTTTTGTAGAACTATAACATTTTTGAGCTAGAAGACCTATTGAATTCCAGTTGCTGATTTTTCTAGTTGTTTATATTATCTCTTGTTCTTTCCCTATAACTTCCAAGTTGACTTTCTTATTTTATTAAAAGTTCATGATCATAGGAAAGTATTTTCCACATAAGCCTTGAGTGAGATACAAATCTGAAAAGTCTTATTTAATTCCCAACAGCCAGGAAACAGACATAAAAGGATTGTTTAGCCATTAACCTTTAATAAAAATGGAACTCTAACTGAGGTCATCTCTTTTTTCTATTTAGCTTGACACTTTGTAGGTAAACAGGACATAATAATTAATGGGTCCAATTTGCTATGTAATAGCTAGGGCTAAATTGAGGAAACCAATGTATTTTTTGAAAACAGAGGACATGGTAAAAATTGAGTGCAGAGTCATTTCACTGAAGAAACTTGTAAGAGTTTTTGAGTCATATTTTGAATTGGAATATTAAAGGAGTCATTCCTATTTAATTAAAATGAAAATGTTATTTTCTTTGACAAGATAAATGTGGCAGTTGAATCACTTGCCAACCTATAATTACTCCCATATTTATTATGAATTTTTAAAACTTGACTGATATTTTCAGTTGAAATTATGTCATGTGTCAATTGGAAGTAAAAAATGAGAATTATTTGGGCTTCTTATATTTGATTATTAAGATATAACATCTTTCAATAAGCGTTTTAAGAAGTACTATAAATGTAAATTGGCTAAATATGGTCTTATTTTGACAGAGGGTTACTGCTTCTTAGTAGTCACATATATAGCACCATAATACACTATGAGTAGGGCAGGGATATTGGTTTTGGCAGAGGAATTGTCAGACTTGAACAGTTCCTCTCCTAGGGCTTTACTTGCAGTTTCTGTACTCTGTCTGGGGGCATTTGTATGAAGGAAGGTTGCGCGTGTATAGATGTTTGCCCTTTGATATTGAAAAGTCACCTGTTCTTTTCTTCGTTATGAATTTGTAGAATAGCAAGTTGGCAGGATATGTCAAAGGAAAATGTTGATAATGGTTATATTTAATGGACACGGATTTGTGTAAGGAAAATGCTATTTACTTTATTGAGCCACTTGTAAATTTAACTTTTTTATGTTGATTTCTTGGTGAATTCATTATTTTATTAGGCCCTTCCATATTATAACTCCTTTGTATCTTTTGTCCCCTATAATTCTTGTTTAAGCCTTTCCATATATGTACCATAGGGTATCTATCTATCAGTGTTCTGGCCAAAGAAGGAATCTATCCTTTGGGTTGTTTTAGTCTTTTGAGGAGACTATTGAAGTGCTTGGATGTCCGTCTGTGGTCTCTCATTCTTGCTAAATAAACAGCCTTTTTTTTGGGGGGGGGGTCAGGGATTCTATGATCATATCTTTTATGTCACTTCTCATATAAATCATTACAGGTAATGTGCATTATGTTTTTGCCCATCATGGATGAAATTGGGCGACAACTTTAAAATGTTATTTTCCAAGGGGAAGCAGGTTTCAGTTTCACTTTGCATGCTTTTAGGCTTACAGAATTTGAGGATACACCTACCAGTCAGCTGACCATAGATGAATTTATGAAGATTGATTTGGAAGGCGAATGTGACCCACCTTCTTTCACAGCTGGGCAAAGAAAGTTGAAAATAAAACAGGTAAAATAAAAGTCATATCTTTCCTGTTATTTAATGATTTAGCTTGAATAGCAAAAAATATGCAAAACAATAACAACAACAGTAATGATACCTATATAATATTTTAATCTTTTCAAAGTGTTTTTAACCTATTATAATAGAACTGATAAAGTACCTAAGGTAATATTCAAACACAATTTTAATGTAGTTTGGAAGAAAAGAATCTTGTCAACATACATTGATGGTAAATTCCAAAGACATCATTCTCAGGCAGCTTTCTCATATTCTTTTTCTGCCAAATCACTATTACTATAATGATTAAAATGGTCTCTTCCTTTATATTTTCATTTTGGGAAGAATGGCTTTGACACAAGCTAGCTGTGTGATTTTGAATTTGTGAAGTGAAGGTAATAATACTCGGACATTTTTTGTAAGGAACCTTACAGATGTAATGCTTTGTAAATCTTAAAATGGTATATAAATGTGAACCATCATCATCATCATCATCCTTATTATCCATCTTATTATTATCTAGCAAGTTGTTTTGGCTTTGACTTTCTGTCACTGCCTTTCACGAAAAAAGAAGTCAGTGTCACTGCTGATTTAAAAAAAGAGCTCTTTTTGAAGTACAAATAACTGGTTGGTATTCTTACCTAAATTACTTAACAAAGTTACAAGATGTGTATTGCAGTCGATAGAGTGCTGGACATGGAGTCAAGAAGATCTAAGTTCCAATATGGCCTCAAAACACTAGCTGTATGACCTTGGACAAGTCATTTAACTTGTCTACTTCAGTTTCCTCTTCTGCAAAATGGAGATAATAATAGTACCTACCTCTTACAGTTGTTGGGAGGATAGAATGAAATGATTGTAAACCTTAAAAAGCTATATAAATGTTAGTTGCTATTATTCCTATGTATACATATAAATGCTAGTTGTTTTTGTTATTGTCACATTTTCAAATATCTTTGAGTAGTTTAAACTGAAAATTATTTTATAGAATCCTACCCCTTGAGGATAAAATAACTTGAAGAATGTTGGGATTTCATTGAGCAAGTCAGATAAAGGAGACTCACAACTTTATCTTCCTTGACTTTTCTCTCCCTCCCTTGCTGCTCTTTCCAATAAGTTGGCAAGTCTTGCTTTTTCTACAGCTATTACATCCTTCACTTCAATCCATGTCTTGCTATTCACCCAGCTACTACACAGACCTGTGTCACCTCTCACCTGGACTATTACAATGGCTACCTAATTGTCCTTCTTACAAGTCTTTCACCACTCCAAGGCATCCTCCTCACAGCTGCCAAGTCTAGGTTTGGCCATGTTACTCTCCCCTAATCAACTAGTTCCAGTGGTTCCCTGTTGCCTCTCCAATCTAATAAAAATTACCCCTCTATTTGGCTTTTGAAGTTCTTCACAATCTGGCTCAAATTTATATGTTCAACATTACTTTGCATTATTCCTTTTCCATTATCTAGCCAAACTGGTCTTCTTGCTGTTTCTTATACACAGCAACAAATAAACAAACAAATAAATGAATGAATAAATTAAGTCGTGCTCTTTATGGTAGATAATTATATATATATATATATATATATACATATATAGACACACACACACACACAAATATAGAGAGGGGCATGTGTGTGTGTGTGTGTGTGTGTAGCATGTCTACCATACAGAGACAACATGACGTCATGGTTAGAGTACTGTTCTTGGAGTTAGTAGGACTGGGGACATCCTCAGGGACTTATTAATTGTATGACCTTGAAGAAGTTACTTAACTTCTCTGTCCTTTGTTTCCTCATCTGAAAAACTGGGAACTTAATGACCACTAAATTCCTTCCAGATCTGTGATCCTATAAGCTTTTGTGCCTTTTTACTGACTACTCTCTCATCCCTATTCTCCTCAACTCTACCTTGTCTACCTTTTGCCCTCTGGAATTCCTGTTCCATAGTGAACAAATTTCCTTTCATCTTTGATCTTTCTTCTCTCATACTCCTTTCATCCGCTAGACCTTACCAAGATAAAGCTCTCTATTGAAGACACTATTTTGCCTTCATCTTCAGCATTGACTTTGCCTTCACCTATATCCCTCAACACACTAGTCCTACAGTGATAGTCAGAATGCTCCTTGTTTCCTCTTGCCTCATTCAACAACCTCTCTTCCTTTGAAATCCATGCTATAAAAAATTTTTTCCCAGTCCAGGTTGTGGTGAGTGGTTTATTCTGGCCCCCAGGTCATTATCTTCCTTTCTCAAGGAGTTTAATACCTGGCTCACCATCTTCTTCTCCTCCTGAATTCCTGCCCTTATTTGTACTAGTAGAATTTAGTATCCACTTAGATGCTGTCTTAAGCTACCCTCCCACAGTTCTTCAGTCTCTTTAAATCCTATAATGTTTTGCTTCATACTATTACCTCAGCCACACATAATCACAGTCATACACAGTCATCATTACTCCTAAGTGTCATACTTCCCTAATTAAATATTCTGACATTTCTCTATCTGACCATAAGCTCCTATCATTCCATTGCTCCCTATGCCTCATCCCTCCTAAATACGTATTTTTTAAAAAGTATTATTTATTTTATCATTCATTTTTTAAAAAGTTTTGAGTTGCACATTCTGTCTCTTCCCTGTCAACACCCCCATTCATTGAAAAGGAAAGCAATATGATGTCAGTTATATGTGTAAAATCATGCAGAACATATTTCCATAATAATAATATTATTTTCATAATAGCCCAAAAGGAAAGCAAGAAAAATGAAGAAAGTGAAAAAATTGTGCTTCAATTTTCAATCTCAAACTTTATTGTTTCTCTTTTTTCATCATGAATTGTTTGGAATTATCTTAGATCATTGTATTAATCACAGTAGCTAATTCTTTCACAGTTGATCGTCGTTACAGTATTGCTGTTACTATGTACAATGTTCTCCTCGTTCTGCTCACTTCATTTTGCATTAATTCATATACGTCTCAGGTTTTTCTGAAACCATCCACCCCATCGTTTCTTATGGCACAGTAGTATTCCATCATAGTCATATACCATAAACTTGTTCAGCCATTCCCAGTTGATAGGTTATCCCCTCACTTTCTAATTCTTTGCTATCACAAAAAGAGCTGTTATAAATATTTTTGTACATTTACATCCTTTTCCTTTGAGGGTATCTCTTTGGGATGTGGAGCTAGTAGTGGTATTGCTGGGTCAAAGGGTATGCACTTTAAAACTTTAAAGTCCTTTGGGCATAGTTCAAAATTGTCTCCAGAATGGTTGGATCAGTTCACAACTCTACCAGTAGTGCATCCCTTCCAGCGTTTGTCATGTTCCTTTTCTGTCTTATTAGCCAATCTGATAGGTATGAGGTAGTACTTCAGCATTGTTTTAATTTGCATTTCTCTAATCAATAGTTATACAGAGAATTTTTTCATATGATTATAAATAGCTCTGATTTCTTCTGAAAACTGCCTGTTCATATCCTTTGACCATTTATCAACTGAGGAATGACTCATGTTCTTATAAATCTGACTCGGTTCTCTGTATATTTGAGAGATGAGGCCTTTATCAGAGAAACTTCCAAGATTTTTCCTAGTTTCCTGCTTTCTTCCTAACCTTGGCTATATTGGTTTTCTTTCTGCAATCCCCTTTTAATTTAATGTAATCAGAATTACCCATTTTACATCCTGTAATGCTCTCTACCTATTATTTGGTCATACATTCTTTTTATTCATAGGTCCGACAGGTAATCTATTCCATGACCCCCTAATTTTATGATATCACCCTTTATGTCTAAAGCATGTACATATTTTGACCTTATCTTGGTATATGGTGAGATGTTGGTCTATTCCTAGTTCCTGCCTAACTGCTTTATAGTTTTCCCAGCAGTTTTTGTCAGATAGTGAGTTCTTGTCCCAAAAGCTGATATCTTTAACTTTATCAAACACTTGATTACTATGCTCATTACCTACTGTGTTTTGTGTACCTAATCTATTCTACCTATCCACCATTCTGTCTCTTAGTACCAGATTTTTTTCATGATTCCCACTTTGTGATACAGTTTGAGATCTGGAACTGCTAGGGTACCTTCCTTCACATTCTTTTTTCATTAATTCTTGATATTCTTGATCTTTTGTTCTTCCAGATGAATTCTGTTATTCTTTCTAGCTCTGTAAAATAGTTTTTTGGTCATTTGATTGGTATGGCACTGCATAAACAAATTAACTAAGAAATGTCATTTTTATTATATTAGCTTGACCTACCTATGAGCAATTAATATTTTTCCAGTTGTTCAGATCTGATTTTATTAGTGTGAAAAGTATTTTATAATTTGTCTATATAATTCCTGGGTTTGTCTCGGCAAGTAAAGTCCCACATATTTCATGTTGTCTACAGTTATTTTAAATGGAATTTCTCTTTCTAACTCTTGCTACTGGACTTTCTTAATAATATATAGAAATGCTGATGATTTATGTGAGTTTATCTTATATCTTGCAGTTTTGCTAAAGTTGTTAATTATTTCAACTAATTTTTGAATTGATTCTCTAAGATTTTCCAAGTATATCATCATACATCTGCAAAGAGTGAAAATTTTGTTTCCTCATTGCCTAGTCTATAATTCCTTTCATCCCTTTTTCTTGTCTTATTGCTATAGCTAGCATTTCTGCTACAATAACAGGGGTGATAATGGGCATCCTTGCTTCACTTCTGATCTTACTGGGAAAGCTTCTAGTGTATCTCCAGTGCAGATACTGCTTGCTTATGATGGTTTTAGTTAAATACTACTTATTATTTTAAGGAATGCTCCATATGTTCCTATACTTTCTAATGTTTTTAATAGGAATGAATTTTGTATTTTGTCAAGCTTTTTCTGCATTTATTGAGGTTATCGTATAATTTTTTTGGTTTCGTTCTTGATGTCAATTATACTGATAGTTTTCCTAATACTGAACTAACCCTTCATTCCTGGCATTAATCACACTTTTTCAGTACTGTATGATTTATTGCTCTAATCTCCTTGCTAGTATTTTATTTAAAGTTTTGTATCAATATTCATTAGGGCAATTAGTCTATAGTTTTCTTTCTCTATTTTTACTCTTTCTGGTTTAAGTAAAGCCCAGAATTTTATTTGACAAAAAGATTATTTGAACAATTAAAGAAGTAATAATGTCAAAAAGATTTACTAAGAGTTCAGGAATGTTAAAATTATTCTAATATTCCTTCATGTGTTAGAGGAAGGAGGTATGTTTCGTCCCATAAAAATGCATTGTAGGCCCTATTGAGGTATTAAGGGAGTAATTTTGGCTGGCAGATAGTTAGCAGTTAAGCATAGCAAAAGGCTTCTCAAAGGTCCAAAATTTGTATCTAAAATATTAAGAAAAGAAATGTTTAAAAACTTAGTATTTTCCTTTATGTACGTATAAAATACTTATAATTTCCATTCAGTGTTTTTTGACAACCTTTTTTTGTGTGTGAAGTGAATGTAAATAAAGGATGAGATTAGGAGCTTCTATGAGTCTGCAAAAAATTTTTTTTTGAAATGAAGATCTGTCTTATAAAAACCAGTGCTAAAATAGTACAAATATACTATAAATACTATCTCTTGAAAAAGGTTCAAGTAAAATTTATGAGAAATAAAGATTATGAGACTAGCTCTACTATGAAACTATCAAGGTAGCATGGTATAGTGAAAAGAGCTCTGCAGCAAGCTGAATAGCTTTGAAAGTTACATATTGAATTTGTTTTTACTTAAAATGAAGATCAAGTTGTATGTAATAAAGATTGGTTTCATGTTCAATTTTCTTTTTCTGTTTGGCTGCATTTGTTGAAATGCTCTTTTTATTTGCTATAAAGAGCATTGTACTATTTATCCAGATGCTAACTAAGATTGTAGTCTCAGTTCCACCACTAACTTACTGTACAGACTTGAAAATGTCACATCCCTGCTCTGGTTCTTGGTTTTCTCATCTGTAAAATGAGAAAGCTAGAGTAGATAATCTTTAGGGTTCCTCTAGTTCTTAACATTCAGCTCTTTAGCAGTTAATAAAAGGGTTAGAAATAATTTAGCTTGAGACAAATGTACATTGGCATCATAACTTTTTTAAATATTTTTAAATTATCAACTTTTTTCAGATAAGGTAAAAACAGTTTCTCTTTATACATTTACTTTAGCATTCAGGAATATTATTATGTTGTTGTTCTAATCTGGTCTTAGAAAAACAGAGTGACGGGAAGTCCTTTCCATGAATTCCCTATTACAGTGTTACATATGTCCCTTGTTCTTTGGTCTTCTGTGGGGGTACACTAACAGTGCCTTGTGAAGTGAATATAAGTTAAGGATGGGGTTAAGAGCTTCTGTGAGTTTGCTACGGTTTTATTGAGGCTAACAGCTAAGGCCCAGCTGGATGTTGAAATGATCTTTACCCACTCCCTATCCCATTAATGTTTGATTCACAATAGGGTTAGATTTTCTTTTCTAATTGTGTAATTTAGTTCTTCTTCTCTCAGAACTCTGAATGTCTACTTTGTTCCTTAGATGTTTTCTCAAACAACTCTCTTCTTTGTGAATTTCATGTTTCTTATTCTTGGACTTCTTAACTATGAATGCTCTTCTGTCCAACAGTTTATGCTTGATATTATGAGTTCATCATTTTGACTTGTTCAAGGATAACACTTGTGTTAAATATGTCCTCTGTTACAATGAGAAAGATCATTTACTATACATGTATAGTGTACACACACACACACACACACACACACGCGCGCGTACACGAAAGACATGCACTGATCCTCAGCATTCCAGAATCTGTGGGACAGTGTTTAAAGGCTTTACAGTATTTCAGAAAAATTTTGTGAAAATGTTGTCCTCTTCCCCCAAATTAAATTTTTAAATCAAGATACTAATAATTCAGTCAAAGCCAAACATTTGTCATCTTTTCTAGTGGAGTGAAAGGAAGAACCTAGGCCCATTAGGCACTTCCTAGTTTCTTAAGAAATGCTATTTGGTTATGGTAACCTACCCCCCCCCCCAAAAAAAAAGATTGGAACCAAAAGAGCCTTACTGTGGAAAAACAAACATCTTTATAATCAGTGGTACAAGAATTACAGAATAAAAGTTTTATTCAAGAATGTATTATTTTGCTTAGTGAAATGCACCTTTTTCTTCTTCTGTTTCAGCTGGAACAGGCCTTATCAAAAGAACTTGAGGATGTGGAAGGTAGCAGTTTTGTCTTATAGCTTGGATTATTTATTTTTCCTTTGCAATTGAATGCTACTTAATAATTATTTTTTAAAATTTATTACAAAAGGTGAAATATCAAGCTACCAGGATGAGATAGAGATTGAATTAGAAAATAGTAGACCGAAGGTGAAAGGAGCACTTGCACATTTCACTAAAGATGGTAAGTTAACCCAATCTTCTTTGCAGTAAAGTTAAGACTTACGGAATTGAAACAAATTTTACATTATTTGTATAATACAAAAAAAATGAGCTTGGTCAGGTGATCAGAGGAAAGGATATTTGCCATTGCATTCTAGCATGCATATTGTCTTGTATCTGAAGAATAGTTTGAATGATAGTAAATAACAATTAATGAATTTAAAAGGATTTCTTCTTTAACATGGGCTCATTTCTTCATGTGCAAGATAGCCTACAATTACCATCAGTTTGTCAAATGTATACACACATATGTGTGCATAATACTCACACATACATACACACATTCATACATACACCCACATGTCTGGAATTATCATTGTGCTGCTGATAATGCTACTAGAGCCTAGAGAATAGAGTCAGAAAATCACAAAATGAAGAAATCCTGAATGCCCACCTTTCAGAGAAGCTATAATGGGGATAGTTGCACTGAATGAAAGATTGAACTAAAAGATCTCTGAAGTCCTATCCAGGGTGGTGGAGCCAAGATGGCAGAGTAAAAGCACTGACTTGCTTGAGCTCTCCCCCAAACCCCTCCAAATACCTGTAAAAAATGGTTCTAAACAAATTCTAAAGCAGCAGAACCCACAAAAAGACAGAGTGAAACAAATTTACAGCCCAAGACAGCCCGGATGGTCGATTGGAAAGGTATATCGTGCCGGGCTGGGAGAGGAACGCTGTTTGCTATGGGCGTGCTGGCCTCAGCAAACTTGGAGCAGGCCTCAGAGGTCTGAATCACGGGCTGTCTGAAAGCCATGATCAAAAAAAGAGCCTAGACATCATCTTTCAAGAAATTATCAAGGAAAACTGCCCTGATATTCTAGAACAAGAGGGTAAAATAGAAATTGAAAGAATCTACCAGTCACCTCCTGAAAGAGATCCCCAAAGGAAAACTCCTAAGAATATTATAGCCAAATTCCAGAGTTCCCAGGTCAAGGAGAAAATATTACAGGCAGCCAGAATGAAACAATTCAGGTATTGTGGAAACACAATCAGGATGACAAGATTTAGCAGCTTCTACATTAAGGGACCATAGGGCATAGAATATAATATTCTGGAGGGCAAAGGAGATAGGATTACAACCAAGAATCACCTACCTAGCAAAACTGAGTATAATCCTTCAGGGGGAAAAATGGTCATTCAGTGAAATAGGGGACTTTCAAGCATTCTTGATGAAAAGACCAGAGCTGAATAGAAAATTTGACTCTCAAATACAAGACTCAAGTAGAACATGAAGAGGTGAACAGGAAAGAGAAATCATAAGAGACTTATTAAGGTTGAACTGTTTACATTTCTGCATGGAAAGATGATATTTGTAACTCATGAGACCTTTGTCAGTATTAGGGTAATTGGAGGGAAAAAAATATATGTATGTAAATAGATAGATAGATAGATAGATAGATAGAGGGCACAGGGTGAGTTGAAGATGAAGGAGTGATATCTGGAGAATAAAATTAAGAGGTGAGGAAGGATTATACTGGGAGGAGAAAGGGAGAGGTAGAATGGGGTAAATTATCTCACATGAGACAGACAAGAAAAGGCTTTTACAGTGGAGGGGAAACGGGGGAAGGTGAAGGGGAATGAGTGAATCTTATTCTCATAGGATTTGGCTTAAGAAGCAATAACATACACACTCAGTTGAGTATGGAAATCTGTCTTACCCTACAGGAAAATAGGTGGGGAAGGGGACAAGAAAGCAGGGAGATGATAGAGGTAAGGGCAGATTGGGGCGAGGGGTAATCAGAAGCAAACATTTCTGAGGAGGGACAGGGTCAAAAGAGAGAATTGAACAAATGGGAGATGGGACAGTTTGGAGGGAAATATAGTTCGTTTTTCACATAGGACTACTATGAAAGTGTTTTGCGTGACTACACATGTATAACCTGTATCAAGTTGCGTGCCTTTTCAATGAGGGTGGGTAGGGAGAGAGGAAGGGAGAAAATTTGGAACCCAAAGTTTTAAAAACACATGTTAAAAAAAATTGTTTTCACATACAACTGGGAAATAAGAAATACAGGAAATGGGGTATAGAAATCTATCCTGCCCTACAGGAAAATACAAGGGGAAGGTGAAAGGAGAGGGGGGGACAGATAGGAGGGAGGGCAGATTAGGAGAAGAGCTATACAGAATGCACGCCATCTTGGGATGGGGGAAGGGATGAGATGGGGAGAAAATTTGGAACTCAAAATCTTGTGGAAGTGAATGTTGAAAACTAAAAATAAATTAATTTTAAAAAACATTCTATCCGACTCTGTGAATGTATCTTTCCTTTGCATCCAGCTATAGTGCTATTAGAAATATCTTAAAAAGAGAAGTCTAGACCTAATAATATACATCTATTGGAGCCATTCTTCAGTTGGAAAGAGTTGATTAAGAGTTTTAAAATATATGTGTGTATGTATACATGTATATATGAATATATAACAAATATTTAATGGCATATCTGATTATGTCATAAATTCACAGATTGATCAGTTCTATTGATGGGCCATAACTGTGCTGACTGAGATTGAAAAACTGAGCTGTTAACAGTGAAAGTGTTTTTATACTTCCTATAGAAAGTAGCTCTAATAACTATCCATAAAAGAAACCCTCTATAGTCAGGGAAGGAAAAGATTTAATAGTTAAACAGTTTTCTTTGGTGGCATTGGACATTACTGTTCATGCCACAGGATCATAAGATCATAGATTTAGAAGTGAAAAGAGGCATTAGGGGCTGTCTAGTTTAACCCTCTGATTTTATAAATGAAGAATTGAAGACTGGAGAGGTTAAGTGACTTGTCTAGGGACATATAGCTAGTCAGTGTCAAATCTGAGTTGAGGTTTGAACCCTGGTTTTCCTGACTCCAAGGCCAATCAGTCCCCTCTCCACTACATTACATTTCCTCTCAGCCTGCTGCTATTGGTTTTTTAACCAAGACGTGAAACATTTCTTTGTGGATGTCAATAGATGTTTATTATAGTAACCACAGACATGCACACATGTGTTGATGGAGTGATAGCTCATTTCACATATGCAGAAAATACCCTCACCAGATGAAGAATAATTTTAAACAACATACACTTATAATTAGTTTTAAATTCAGCATTATATCTTGGTCTTCTCTCGGCCTATTTATAATTTTAAAAAAAAGCATAAGAAGTGACATCCTGGGTTAGTCTCAGGGCTTGTCCAACTCTAGATTTTTGTCACAGTGCCACCTGGCGATGGTTTGTGGGATACCATGGGAATTGCTCACCAAAATGTCACCTCAGAAGGTCAATACAATACACTTAAAATATCCCTAACTCTTTATTTCCTATTATGAATTTGTATACCTGTAAGAGTTTTTCCTTCATATAGATTCCTAAGAATCGACAGTTCTGTAAGTCTTATGTGTTGGGAAGATGACCTGAATGCACTGATTCTGAGGTGAGGCCTTGAATTGTGATTCATTAAGTTGAAAATGCCATGTACTTTACTTGGTAGCAAGGCATCACAGTTGATCTGTGACATTGATAATCACTTCATAGGCTTTTTCAGGTAAAAGTCCAAGAGATCTCAAATGTCCAGCCCTTTCATGGTATGGAGAAGGAAACTAAGGCCCAAAGAGGCGTAAGTGACTTGTTCAGTGTCATATGGGTACTAAATAGGCAAGCTGAAATTGAAACTCAGACTTTCTACCTTCAAATTCAGTGCTTTTTCTACTATATCAACAGGGCATTAAGGTCTGTTGATTTCCTTTCTGCCATTGAAATAGTCAGAAATGCTTGAAATTTGCCCATACCAATCACATTTAGAAGTCAATGTGATTTCTCAATATTATTGCTTTGTGGGAAATTTGATGTTCTTATTAATATATAAACATTTGTCAGGATGACAAAGGCTTAGTAGGATATCCACTTCATTTATAATTCCCGTGTTGAATTTTGGGTGCTTTTAAGTAAAACACTTTGAAAGCATAAATTATTTCATACAACTCAAGTGTCAGAGAAAAAGGTATCATTTTTAAAGCATGTCTTTTGATAGTTTATCTTTTTTATAATTGCTTTAGAAGTTGAAATCAGCTTCTGCAGCTTAAGAAAGGATTTTCTTTCTTTCCTTTTTTAAAAAATAAATTGACCCTTTCTGTTCTATAATTTTCATCTTAGTAACAGATGACAGTGATCTTTTCAAATTATTTTAACAGATTCCATGGATGATAATACTTCTAGCATATTTGGAGAAGATGAGGCAGAAGATGAAGAACTAGAAGCAGCTGCAAATCATTTAAATAAAGACTTTTATAAAGAACTTCTTGATAGAAACAGATTGAGCAGTGATGATGATCTAAGTTGTGGAAATGGAACCATAGACCCAGTTAAGCCACCAGCTTTAGAAACTTTACTTGGTCCTCTGCCTACGGCAGCCAGTTTGGGAATCACCGAATCCATCAGAGAATGCATTTCACCAGAGAGCCGGGAGCCCAGTAAGTACCACTGACAAACTATGGTCTTTTCTGAAACTGGCACCTTTAAAAACAGGATATGATCTTCCAAGTGTGACTGGCTTTCATTTGGTGTTTTTTTCTAATCTCAGTGATAATTGATTATGTTGAAAAGAGGTGGTCCATAGTGAGCATAATCACATAAATACTTTTTGTAGCAGAAGGAAATTTTCTCAGATACAAGGATAAATTTGTGGAGGACGATAGAAAGATTAGAACGGCCCCGCTCAGTATCAGCTTAAACTGTTTCTACTTTATAGTTGTGTTCTTTTTAGCCCATTGCCCACCACTTATAGGAAGTTAGGGCTGCTTTAGGGTTAAACTTTTCTAGGATGAATCGATATTTCCTGTGTAAAATGAAATCTTTAATATATGGAAAGAACACTTTTATTCTGGATGAAATTTCTAGGACTCTGTCTATAGGACTTGGAGCCATACAGGCATGTATCTATAGGTACACAAGGGCTTTACCCCAATGGTACTTTTTTTCCAATGCTCATGATTTTTCTTTGTATTCATCCAGAGAGAGTTATCTTTTCTTGGGTATTCTTCGAAAACAACATTATTTTGTTAAATATGAATTTTCTTATCTTTTGTTTGTGTATCACCTACACTTCCCATTGTATTTCTTTCTAACCTCCTCCAACAGAGCTATCCTTTATAACTAAGAATAAAAAACAAGGAAAAAAAAAGTTCTGGGAAACTAACCAAGATGTCAAAAAAAAAAGAGTTTGATATTATATGTAGTATACCTCTGCAAAGAAGCTAGTGGAGGTATCTCCTTTGGGGGCAACACCTGGTCCTTATAATTTTACAGCATTAAGTTTTTGTGTTGCTGTTCTTTGTATTTACAATGTTGTAGTCCTTGTGTTTATTATTTTTGTGGTCTCCTGATTTCACTTTTTTAAAAAGAGTAAATATTTATTGATATCTGCTTGTTTTTTCACATCACCAAAATTTTTCTCCCAGTACTTCTTTCTTTCCCCATCCTAAAGAGGTGTTCCATATAACAAAATATTTTTAAAAGAAAAAAATCCGTAAAACTGATCCATACATTGAAAAAGTCTAAAAATATGTGCAATGGACCATAGCAGTGGACCTCCCACCTCTGCAAAGGAGTAGGGTTGGAGTGTCTTGTCACTTCTTTGGAGACATATTTATTCTGTGTAATTTTGAAGCATCAGCTTTTGACTGATTTGGTTCTTTCTGTTTGCATTGTTGTGTGTGTATTGTTTTTGTGGCTCAGCTTACTTCACTCTGTTTCAGATCATATAAATCTTTCCATAGTTCTCTCTATTCATCACAATTATCTTTTCTTAAAGCACAGGAGTATCCTATTACATTTATGTACTATAGTTTGTTTAGTCATTCCTCTGTAGAAAAGCATCTACTTTGTCTACAGTTTTTTGCTATTAGGAAAAATGCTGTCATACTTTGCTGTATGTAGGGACTTTCTTCTTGTTTTTGTCCTCCTTGGGATTTATGCTCAACAGTGAAATCTTTGAGTCAAAGAATGTGGACATTTTGCTCATATTCATTCCATAATTCCAGATTACTCTGTGGAATGGTTATACATAGTATAACTAACTCCACCAACAATGTATCTGTCTTTCCACAATCTCTCTAACCTTAACTATTCATATTTTTCATCATCTTTGCCAAATTCCTGGGTGTGAGGTGAAACTTTGGGGTTGTTTTTATTTGTATTTATTTTATTATTAGTGATTTGGAGTATTCATATGGTAGTTAATAGTTTGTAATTTTGAAAAACAATATTTTAAGTAAGCATGTTTGAAGCTATGCATTGCTTCTATGCCACATCAATCACATCGTATCAACAGTGATTCACTTTTGGACAGCTCTCACTTTTAAGAAGTTTTCTTTCTTGTCCCTCTCTGGGATTTCTACTCATTGTTTTTGCAGCTAGGCAGAAAAGGTGTACCATCCACATGATAATCTTTCAAATATTAGATAAGTTCTCACCCTTCCTCTCTGTTTCTACTCCCCTAACCCTCCATAAAAGAAGAGTTAATCGAATGGCAAATGTCAGAGGGTGAGGTGCTGAGGCTGTAGCATCTCAAAGAAGGGGAACTGAGTTCTCCAACTTCAAACATTCTATCTTCTCTAGACCAGTCACAGAGTCTAAGTTTTTCTTTTAACCATGTTCACAATCATCTTGTTTTCTATTCTTTCTCACACATTTAGTCAGTTGTCAGGTCTCTTCACGTGTCCTACATTTTTCTGCTTCTTTCTACCCACATGGCTACTTTCTTAGTTCAGGACCTTATTGTCTCTCACCTGGACTAGTTTCCCTTCTTCAAGAGTATGCCTTCTGTAACCCATTCTCCTCACACAATCTTCTTAAGAAATAGGTCTCAACATGACTTTCAGTAGCTCCCTAATGCTTATGGGATGAAATGTAAATTTTCCAGCCCTGCATAAAAACACTCCGTAATCGTATTCTCAACTACCTTTGCTGCATTATTTCACATTGCTCTTCTTTGTTCATGAGTTCTATCTACATTTCAGAAAAACCGATTTACTAGTTGTTCCCTGAACTAGGACATTTTGTCTCTTACTTCCATGTCACAAACAATTGCGATTGCCTTGAATTTTATAGTTATCTCTGCCTTTCAGAATCATCATCTTCCTATAATGCTCAGGTGTCATTTCTTCAAAGAAGCCCCTAAATCTCTTTAAATTACTTCCTTCTGTAGATGTTACATTTCTGTAGTGTAGGGGTTCTTAACCTAGGACTGTAAATTTGTTTTTTAAAAGTATTTTAACTATCTTATTTCAGTATTATTGATTTCCTTTATAACCTTATGTATTTTGTGCATTTTAAAAACACTGGTGGGTCCATGGATTTGATCAGAATAGATTTAATAAAACCATCTATGATACAAAAAAGGTTAAGAATGCTTGCCATAGAAAAATAGAAGTTTCCTCATGGCTGGGACTGTTTTGGATTTGGATTTATTTGTTTGTTTATTGTTGGTTTGTTTTGAGGTCTTTTTGTTTTTAATCATTCGGGCCTAGTATACTTATTGCCTTGTGTATAGTGCATGCTCCAGTAATAGGTAAAACAAAAGAGTTGGAATATGAAATGAGAGAAATCGTAGTTCACCAAAGATAGCATCTGAGAAGAGAGCCAGCAACAAAACGAACGCCCTAAGATGTCTCTCTATGTAAGTGAACAAGGTCTAGGTATTAAATAGTTTGAACTAGAGATCCTAACAGAAGGAGACAAGTATGAACTTATACAGGTATCACTAAAACTTGGTGTGATGGGACTCGTGACTGGTATTTATTTCTGGAAGCACATACCTCATTCAAAAGGATCAGAATAGATTAAAAACAGAGTGGTGGAATATCATTGTCTGTTATTAAGAATATATAATCCTATGCCAGAGATGCTAGGCCCTAAGATTGCCAAAGATAGAAACAAAGGTATCATATACAATAAAATATTATAGCAGCACTTTTTATTAATAGCAAAGAATTGGAAACAAAGTTGGTGTTCATTGTTAGGGAATGGTTAAAGAAATTAATCAAACTGAAAGTGGATGTTCTTATTTTACTCCTGATTTCATTAGAAAAGCCTCTAAGCATTTCTTTGTTACAGGTAATTCTATTTTTTGGTTCTAGATAGATAGTTTGCCTTGTTAAAGGGAATGGGGGGGAGGGGAGGGTGACATGATCAGACCTGTGCTTTAGGAAAATCATTTTGGAAGCTGAATGGAATATTTACTAGGTGCCTACTCTGTGCCAGACACTGTACTAACTACTGAGGGTACCAAAAAAAAAAAAAAAGAAGGTGAGAACAGTCCCTTGGTAGTTCACAGCTTATTGGAAGGAGAAATATTCCTTCAAATTTTGGCATAAATCTATCTGGACCTGTATTTTTTTTCATTTAGTAATTCCTTTATTGTCGCTTCAATTTTCTTTTTCTAGGATTGGGTTATTTACCTTTTTTTAAATTTGTTCTATTAATCTGAGTATTTTATATTTTCTAAATATTCATTCTAATTTAAAGTATTAGTTTTACTAGCATATAGTTGGGCAAAATAATTTGTAGTAACTTACTTTTTACTTTTTATGAAATTTTGATTCTCGCACTTTGGTTTTCCTTTTTAAAATATCAAATTAGTTAACGGTTTGCTTTATTCATTTTGCTTATCAATGAATATCTTCTTTGATCTTCACAATTTTTATGTTTAGTTGTGGCTTTTCATTTGTTGCTTTTGTTTTTTTATTTGTATGCCCAATTCATTGACCTATTCTTTTGTTGTTTGTTTTTGTTAAAAATGCTTAGAGCTGCATCCCAAAGTTTTGGTATGTTGTTTCATTGTTGCCCTTTGGCAGGGGAAGAAATTGTTGTTTCTGTTATTCACTTATCTAAATTTTCTTTATGATTACATTATTTAAGTTTGAATCCATTTTTCAAATGCCCTTAATTTGATTACAATTTTTATCACATTGTAGTCAGTAAAAGATTTTGACATTTCTTTTTTTCCCCCCTACACTTATATATGAAGTTTTTATGCTCTAATTCATGGTCTTAGGCTATCTGTTTTGCCAGTGCCGTGGACTTTAACGGCTGTTTAGGCTGCGTAACAACCAGAATAAACTAAATGCACTAAGACTCAGTTTTGGTAGACTTTTATATGTAGTGATGAAAGACTATTTTCCCTTACTTATCTAAATCAGCATCAAGAAGGCAGGGGCAGCTCTTTGAATTTGACAGATAGTTTATTTCCACTTGAAGTGTGTGCATCTCTGTGGGTGGGCACATGTATATCCTTGCTGGATATTGGTATATCTTTGTTAAATATTTGCTTATATTTAGTAAAAAAAATTTTTGGTTTTTATTTTAAAGGCTGTTAGGTGTTTCAGTGGATAAAGTACTGGACCTGAAGTCAGGCAGGAAACCCTGAGTTTAAATCTGACCTCAGACCCTACTAGTTGTGTGCCCTTGGGCA